TTTATATTTAAGATTTTCTTAAGTACAGTCTTAAGATATCAAGAATCAATCACAAAGCTGTGTGTGTACATCAGCATCTTAAGATATTACTTAAGACAATCTTGATAAGAATCGATTGAATACTGGTCAAAGATTAATTAACTATATAATTATTTAATATTAAAATTCTGGAAAATTAATTGTCATTAATTAAGATACTCTTCTTAAATTATTGAAAAATTAAGTTAAACCTTATTTTTATACACCCAACAATCCGACGTGTTTGCCATCAGCTTGTCCTGGCCGAAACCTGCGTGCACGAAACCAGAAACGAAACTCGCCGCTAAATTCGCTCTAGCTGAATCATGTTCCATTTGTCTAAATCCGCTTACCAACCAACTCTTGTAGATATCTTCTGGGAGCTTTGGCTCGAGTATATCAAGCTCTCTGGCAAGAATTTGGAAATGAGTGTTTACATGGCCATTGCTGAGGATCGCCTCGATGTCCTTAGCATCGTTTCCATGATATTCCGACCTCAAAGGTTGATCCTATTTAGTAAACAGATTACTGTCAATTTCATCTTATTGTCAATTTATTGAGTAAATTAATTTTCTTTTAATTATTAATTTCTTCAAAATCAAAACGTTATCTTTATAATTATATCCTTTTTTTTTAGCTTAGTTGATTCCTATTAAATTCTTGTAAAGGATAATTAAAAGATATACTTATTATTGGATTAAAAGGAAGAAGTAGAAAGACGCTTAGAGATTGTGTAATTGTTGTTTATCATTTAATTTATTTAAATTAATTTACTTTCTATAAAAGAAAGTTTAGCTATTTATATTACGATTTATATATTTACATATTTCTGTATATGAAATTAATGGAATGTAGGGCATTTCTGAATCGCTATTAACATTGTCTTACGCACTATGCTGCTTCTTCCTCTGATCTTATGAAATAAAGTCAAATGCTATGCAGATATTATGCAAGGAGTTACTTGCAGACGGGAGAGAATAAAGGCTAGTTGGTTCCTCGTCAAAGAATCGGGACAAGCGGTGAAGCACTTGAAAACAAGTTCCGAATTTACAAGTTGCAGCGCTACCAAAATTGCCCTCGTATACTCGTTAAACTTTAGATATTGCTCCGTAGCAAATTCTAATATTTGTCTTCTTTCTGTCTCTTCACTGAATTAAAAATACGTGTAGTTTAACAAGTAATTCAATCATACAAACGCGAAGTAGATTAGAATTTATTGAATAGTGAATAGCTTAATATTTTTAATATATTTTATTAAAATATGCAGCTATATTTATATTTTAAACATCAAGTTGTACAGCTTAAAAAAATTACACTTCGTTCATAATGAATTGATGTTTCAAATTATGTTCAATACAAGGATAATTTATTTTATAAAATCTATTAGATTTGCTTTTATTAAAAAAAAATAAGACCAGTACACTTTTAATTATAGTAATATTATCCATATTAAACATTACCTGTAAGCCGCGCAATTAATTAAATAATAGCACACACGCGCAAAATTTGTAGGCTCTAGGTATTCCGCGAGAAAATTCAGCTCGTCAATTTCCAGGCATAAATCACATGCTTGTATTTCCGCATTGTGTCTCGTGTCGAATGCTATGATGCTCTTGATCAAAGGTGTAAGACGTTTTCTAATACAAGAAATATACTGTGTGAATGTGTATTTCATATTGTTCTTATTACCTCTCGGTGTTGATATAAATATAAAACTGAGTATTAGGAATATGTAACAAGGAAGTGATATCTAAATTTCTGCTACAAATTGTCGCGTCATCATAAAACATTTTATTTGTATAATCATATATTTTTAAGTATGATGGTACTACTATATAATATATTTTACCGGATCTCACGCTCCTCTTTGATCGGTGCATGCGTCCATTCATCGACGATCTGTGCCTCGAGTTGTCGCACGTATTCATGGCCCCATTCCCCGGGATTATCCACAGCTCCTTTGATACAAAAATCCAGACAGTCTCTGGATTCCGGAGTAGCTCCAGCGAGAGCGAGTACACTCAGGATTTCTGCAAAACGTATCTTTGCTTCTTCCCTTTTGAGTCTTGCGTATGTGTTGCGCAAGTTCGGATAAAAATTTCTCAAATATTTAAGAGGCTTCGGAACGGATGTCATCGAAGTCGTGGATGTACGTATCAACATTCTCAGATGATTCAATGACAGCAACATAGCTATTTCATCTTTACCCTGATATGAAAATATCAATTATATACATATACATGCAATTTCTTTTCTAAGATAGCAATTTTTTAAGTATTAAAGAAAAAGTTGAATTTTAGATATATTTTATTCTAAATCGAAACTGTTTCAAAAATGAAACTGTCAAAATTTATTTACTTGTAATATATCAACTGCTTGTAGTAATTCTTCCTGTAATTTCTTATCTTCTTCACTCTATGTAAAAAAGTGCAAAATGATGTTGATACATATTCTATTTTTAATACAGACTGATATTTAAATTCACAAACAATATATATTCTTATAAATTGATATTTTAACATTTCTTGCAATTTTTAGTCAATATTATATGCTTACCATATCACTTTCCTTATCTTGATTACGTTTATTCATCGTTTTACAAATATTTTGCCACGATTCAATAACGTTGAATTGAACGATTCAAAAAGCTTTAATTAATATATTGTCAAATAAATTTTCGTATCCGTCATACGCAGCGTACGGCTTTTGTTTCATTATTTTTCGGGAACCGACATATGTGGTGACGATTAAATATTTATTAAAGTTCGTGTTTATATAGCCGCTGCTATTTCTATTAAATCATAAAATATATAAAATTTCCTTTTATATGTACATATCTTGAAAAAATATTTTTCAAATTAATACATATTAAATACGACAAAAAACACCAAGAATGGTTAAATTTTGGATGTTACAATTAATACATTATATATTTTTTTTATTAAATCAATTTATTCCAGATATAATTGCAAGCCGATAACATTCGGTTTCAACACAATTTCTATAAAATTTGGTTAAAATCAGTTTTAAAATGTGATTCAAGCGTATACCAAAAATTAATTCTTTATTCATGACATATTCGTTGTATTTCTAATCGTAACACAATTAAAAAGTTAGATGATGTTTGTCTTGAAAGTTATAATTTATCCATTAATTAAAAGCAGATCGAAAGCAATTTTATTTTATTGATATTCTTTCATTCCTTATAAACTTTCATTTCTTATAATATCTTTATATTAAACTTTAAATAGACGAGTTTTTTAATTAATCGATTAATTAATCGCATTATACGTAAATGCAACTTTGTTCCGTAAAAGCTGCATTTGTATGTAATACATCAATCGATTAATCAATCGATTAATTAAAAAACTCGCCTAACACTTAAGTAGAAATTTCTTTTTGAAAGAAATAAAATTTCCTTTTATATGTAAATATCTTGAAAAAATATTTTTCAAATTAATACATATTAAATACGACAAAAAACGCCAAGAACGGTTAAATTTTGGATGTTACAATTAATACATTATATATTTTTTTTATTAAATCAATTTATTCCAGATATAATTGCAAGCCGATAACATTCGGTTTCAACACAATCATTCTGAAATGCTAATAATCCCCCTCTTACTTTCTTTTTTTCTTTCTAATTTAATTTAGGAGGGAGATTATTAGCGTTTCAGAATGATTGTGTTGAAACCGAACGTTATCGCAATTATATCTAGAATAAATTGATATAAAAAAAGAATATATAATGTATTAATTGTAACATTCAAAATTTGAATTCTTGGCGTTCTTGGCGTTTTTTATCGTATTTGATGTATTCACATACGGTCATGCTTAAAATTCTTAATAAATGAATACGTATTATTTTCTTAAAGTTATATTCTTTATTTTATATATTAAGAAAATATATTAATATAATATTATCATGTAATTGATAATTTGGGAAAATGGAAAAGAAAGGTTTATTGTTTGTCATAAAATAAAATTTGGCATAAAATTGCAATAAATATATTAAATTATTTTAAAATATAACTATTTATTTTTAATTATAATAATTATATACAA